GTTACAACAGTTCGTAATTGTATTTCAAAGCATTAATACATCCCCAGTCTATTATTGTTTACATTAGAGACATAGTAACGAGATCATAATACGAGCCATGTTTATTTTATGCCCTCTATGTCTTACAATATAATATTAAATTTAAAAAAAAACAGAGAGAAAACGAATATAACGCTTGTGAGCTTAGATAAAAAATTCCACGTTACACGAGCCTCGTGGATTATTCGAATCGATCATTATGATAAATGGGAAAAGACGACTTGTCACGAGTGAATTATCGATTCCGAGTGATCGCCGTCCGCGCGCGAATAGTCAGTTTCCTATGGCAAACTGGCGTTATCGAGGTTCCGACCGCACCTACACACTATCTCCACTCACGTTTCTATACACCATTTTCGACAATCCCGCATCTCCGGCACCGGCGAACGCCTACGCGACGCGTCGCTGGAAACGGTACGGTATCTGCCGTTGACGGTTCGTCGATTACGTTTCCATCGAGAACACCAAGTTCGGCTCGCGTTTGCCCGCGTTTTCACCGGTGTGCTTTTAAACAAGTTCCATCGGCAACATTCTTTAAACGTTTCGTTTCGGCCCACGCAACCGACCGCGCAATCCACGCCCACGCTCGTGTCGAATCGACCTATTATTTCTCCTCCTCCCTTTCCGAAATCTTGAAAACGAAACGAAACGAAATCAATGCGAAGTTATTTCAGTTATTTAATCTATTCGACCGATCTGACCTCGACACCGATCGACCAATCTCCGCGTCTCTCCTTTACTTCGGATTGTTTGTTAACGAGATTAAGCGTGTATGCACTTGCATTACTGGTATAAGTTGGCAGTCGGAAAGAATGCGGGTCTAATTGGTCGATTTGGACAGGTTCGTAAAAATAATGGTATTTGTAGAAAGTGTAATGTTTACAGATAAAATAATCGCGTTCCTATCATTGATAAAAGATAGGAAAGATTTTTGCCTTTGCGTAATCCTATCAATTTACCAGCAACTTTTATGCTATACTTGTTATATGTTATTCGCAAAGTGTTTGGACGAAGTAAGTAGACAGTTTTAAGAAACTGACTTTTAAAATTGAAACAAACACGAAAGTTTATGTGTAAAAATATTGTTCAACTTTATTTTTCAAGTTAAAAAGAATTTAAGTTTGCATTAGATAAAGCGAAACAACGTGCGGTGAGCGAGATAGTTCTGTTTTCATCACTCTTTTTCCATCTCGGTTCATGTAGTGCAAAATTAAATCGCTTATAATACGAAAGAAGTTTGAACGAATATTTTTGCATAATCAACTTTTGTGTTTAGTTTCTCTAGGATCGCTCCTTAAATTTTCTACCTTACTTCGTCCAAACAATCCAAACAAGTATCATATTTGCTTACTACGCGAATTCACGATCTCGACGAACAAAACATGTTGCTTAAACGTCTCGCCACGAATTCAAAAAACATTCATAAAACGTTGGTGTTCTGTTCGGAAATGCAAAAATTTCGCTTCGCGCAACGCGTTATTTACGTTTGTCGAGATAATGGAAAGGTCAGGAGGCTTTTATCCTCGTTGCGCCTTTTCTGTCTATTTTGCTCTTATACTGGCTGGTCCGTCATTCATGGTACTAAATAGGATCGGACAGATTTTATGACTCAAAATAAGTCGACTCAAGAATAACAAAATTGCATAAAAAATTCCGTTTTCGAATAAATCAAATTTAAAAATTTTTCAAGTGCACAAATTAATTAATTTTCTATAATAAATACGAGATACGAAAATTATTCTAAGTGTGAAAGCAAGCAAAAAGTGTAGAATATATTTTTCTTTTTACTTAAAAGTTATTTTTTAAAAAATCAAATGTGAAAAGTTATCGACTACTCGTTGCTTGTATATGTTCATCAATTTTGATTTTTTCAAAAACAAAGAAACGATAAAATTTTGTTCTACATTTTTTGCTTACTTTTATATGCACAGTAATCTTATTAAAAGTTCATTTGTCATCCAATTAAAATTTAACTAATTTAAAAAATTTTCAAACTCAAAAACGAAAACGAATATAAACAAAATTGTATTCTATATTTCTTATTTATAGTTTTAGAATCTCCCTGACCTAATTTTTACTATGAATTACGGATCATTCTGTATACATTCGGTATAAATCTTTATATATTTTAGGATCAATAAGTTATGTTATCAAAACTAACAATAATCTTTTTTAATATATTTAATAATAAATATAGTAGTCATAATAGATTATAAATATATAAAGCAATTTCTTTTTATTATGGAATAGTATTTCAAAGAGGAATCAATCCCCTAAAATTTCAATATTATTTCCATTTTTTGAAATTTTAGTGATAGAGCAAAATTTTATACTACAAAATATTGGGATTTTTAATTAATCTTTTAAAAAAATCTTTTATAAAATATTCATATTTCCAAAACATGAAAAAAATTATGAAAATTTGAGGATTGATTTTACGTTCTCAAAAAAATTTTGCAAAGAAACCGTCCAAAGATAAATTGTTCTGTGTATAATCCATTATGTTCTACATATAATATGAAAACTTTCATGACCGACTCCGTGACACTAAAATTATAAGATATAGGTCAAAATTTGATTTTCAGATTTGCGAAACTTAAGATTTCGAAATTTTTAAAAATATAGAAACTTCAAATTCTCAAAATCCAAAATATATCTATACTTTTATTTTTTCTTTGTCTAATAAATTACTGAAATCATATTAATTAATGTAAAATTATTTATTTCAATTATTATTAATTAAAATAATTTTAAAAATTAATCGAATTATAATGTAGCAAAGAATCTCAAGAATTTAAAATTTTTTTAGTTTCGAAAAGTTTCGAATGTCCTATCTCTGAAAATTATATAAAATTCAATGTTGCTTAAAATTCGAATAATTTTGATATTGTATTCGTCAATCATCATGACCAATTATTCATCTCAATATTTCTATTAACATTATCAATCAAAGATGGACAAAAATTAATAATTTAATTTAAGAATAAAGTTATTTCAATAAATTCAATAATTATTCAAAGGATGGAGTTATCGCAAATAATTGTAATGTCAAACGGCAAAAATTATATGAAGAATGGACAACTATATACGAATGAATTATATTATTCAAACATTTTAATAAATAATTACATAAAATAACTATATTCAAAATTTTTAACTTTTTTATTTTTTTAATGCTCAATTTTGGCATCAGTAAATAGTTTTTATAGTCATCGAAAATATTCCTCAAGTACTTTTATACATTGAATTATTTAATTACTAGAACAATTTTAAGAATGAAATTTGACTACTTAGACACGTACTTATTACGCGTAAAGGAAAATAGAAATGATAAAAAAAGGGATAACAAGTCACTCATTACGAAAAGACATTCATATCTTTTATCTCTGCTTACATGTCTTTTCTATTCCATAACATTATAGAATAAAAATTAAAAAAAAAATGTGGTTCGACCGTCGTTACTTTGATATCGATGCACTTATGTGTATGTATGTACTTAAATCGGGCGCTTGGCAAGAGATTTCGACGATTCGCATTCTTAAAACGGTGACGTAGCGCGATAAGATAAGCGACGAAAATAAATCTCACCTTTTTCGTTCGCCTTCCAAATCAAAGAATAAAGCGAATCGAACGAATGGAATTAAGTTCACGAATGAAAAGTTAAATCCGTAAAGAATGTTGCTCAAAACATAAGCATGAATGTTGTAAACCTTTGAGTTTTGTTCCGCACGATCCAAAATATACCGATGAATCGTCGTATATTTTTATACAGTGTCGAACCAGCATTCGTGATAAAGAGAAACAGTTCTAAATGCGTTACAAAATCGTAGTTACGAAGAGAATATTAGAATACATTTCTTTACATTTTTTATTAAATTTTATAACTTAAATTTTAAAACTTTCCTTTCTGTTTCACGTTGCTGTTCAAAATATCCGACACGTTGCGATAGGATGCGACGAAAAATCGATACCACGTGCTTCGCAAACTTTCGAACCAAAATACTAGCTGGCTTCCCGACCGGACCTAAGACAACTTCGGCGCGGTTGTCTGGCCGCATAAATCTGTCCTCGTGCCGAACCACGAGGAAGTCTTTTCTTAAATGCCAACATCCATTCGAACAACTGGACGACCACTTGCGAGATCATCATTCACGCGAGTCGAGCCATAATTTTCTTAACGCGTTCTAATTTTTACCCAGACTTCTCAGAATTGGGAAATAATTCATTCGATGCCAGTTCTATTGCGAGTTCTATATGCGAGGAGCTGTTCTATTTATACAACATTGCCAAATCGTTTTAAAAATGGTTACACGAAGATTAATTCGAATCGAACGAATAAAAGCGTATTATACAAATGTATTCTGTTACGAATTAAGGTGCGAATTAGCAAACGGTGATAGTTCGACCTTCACCAATAACGAATGGAAAAAAAAAATAGCGATGCGAGCGCAACTCGCGAGCGAAAACATCGTTGACTTGCCCCCACCATTGATCAATTCTCTGACCGCCACCTGTGGCTTTGCTCGTCTTTCACGGCCACCGCGAATTCCTGAGAAATTGTAGGTAGGTTCATAAAACCACCGATACGGTTGCCGAGCCTCGTAGTTAACGTCTTGTGAAAAATAAACATCAACTTCAAACCGATAAGCGAAGCGGTCTTCAAGGTCAATCCTGAAATTCCAGTTTAGTTTCAGATCACTGATAAATCGGTGAGACGCGAGAGAAATTCGAAATGACACGATATCACGATGGCAAGGAGAAAATCTTGGGGTAAAAAATCTCTCATTGGCTCTTCGTTTTCAGTAGTCCATTCGCAAAGGAGAAAGGAAAAGAAAGAAAGAGAGCGGAAACAGCAATTATTCTATGACACTTTGGATTGTTCTTGGATCGTAATCATTCGTGTTCCACGATCGCGAGAAAGCACCGGCAATCTTTCTTCTTAAATTGTTTAGATTACTTACTTACAATATTCTTCGAGAAGAAGTATCAAAAAAAGGCAACGGATGGAGACCACAAAATTCTGTCGCGATTTTTTTCGCGAAACATAACTTATGGATAAGCCACTAACGCAAATGTCAGCCGTTGAAGTTAATTTGAACGAGTCAAGCGTTTTAAAATTTAGAACACGCGAAGAAACGTAGGCAAAATCGAAATTCGCCGTCGAGCACGGGAACGACACGCCGTTATCTCACCGACAACAAACCGAAACTCACGCGAGGCGCGAGCGAAACTGACTCGAGCCGCGACTCGTTCTACGGTTTTATACGAGTGAGTGGATTCCCCTCTACAGCCGCACGATGCGTATATACTTACGCACTCGCCAGACGAATCTGCGTTTCTTCCTGATTCAATGCTTTCGCTTTACCCTCCGCGATATCGAACACATTTCTTTCTCGCCCTATCTAAACTATTTATTCGAAACTAATTCCAATTATTTCAAATTTGACAATTTGAAAGCGATCGACGCAAATGGTCGCATGTTTCTAAATACCATAGGTCGGAGATGATGAATTGGCGATCCACGAGTCGCAACTGACCCGCCGCGTTCTTGATTTCTCGACTCAAAGAGAGCAGCATACCGATTTGACTCTTATATTGCACTGAAACTTTTATATATATATATATTATTTTTTTTTTTGATTTTAAACGTTATACATTGTATATTAATTTGTATAATAATGAGGAAAATTCAGAGCTTAGAGAACAATTTAGATTTGTTGCATGAAGTTAGAAATTGTTGACAAAGTTTATTTTCTTCTAGAGTTTAAATTTAAAAACGGTTTTGTTTCTATAATGTAATATAGTATGTTTAAAGTGAACATAGAATTCGAAGTTAAATCAAAATAGGAAAAACAATAACAACTACAGAGGTAGAAAATCGTAGACGAAAACAACCTAGCGTAACTGTAAACGCCGGAAGTGCCAACACATCACATTTCATCAATTAAGACCAGTGAAACATAACTTCAAGCAACAACTGGACAAACATCCCACGCATTCCGATCTTCAAGGAGACATCCCAGAGTGCCAGAAGACAAAATCTTGCATCAAAGTAAAATCAACAACAACAAGGTATGTGAGACAAGTCTAAAATCCTTACATTCTAAAAGTCAAAAGATGATCATCAGCATCTCCAAGCGCACAGGATCAGACCTTAAGGATATTTTAAGGATCTGTTCTACTTTTATTCTATAAAATTCAATTAGATTTTAACTTCTTATCTTATCTTATATTATACTATAACGTTAAAGACTCAAATTTTTAGAATTGCGTTATCTTATACGGATTTATTATATCCATAATCAACCAATTGAGAGATTAATTGAATGTGTTTGTTTAATGGACTCTGGAATTTAACGTCAACAACAAATGTCATTATGTGATTTGCAAAAAGCAAGATTTCTAATGTTTCTTTGGTTTCAATTTTGTGATGTTTTGTACATTATCAATACGAGATCAAGACATTTGGAGAAGTAACAGGAAGAAGGAGTGAATTTCAGATCTAAAATTTCAGCTTCGAGTATTTATTATTATAATTTTTGAAATGTTAATAAAAAACTTTCGATAGTAAACATTGAGAGCTATGTATATTCACGTTATTAATACATTGAATGCTGCTTAACCAAATGTTATTAATACAACAGTTGTCGTCATAAGAGTATCAAGTAGCTATGCGTGCCGATGACGTCTAGCTACATATCGTATCTATAGAACTTTATACGAATAGAGTGTTTCATCTGTAATCCATCAAAAATTTGATCGCTCGAATTTAAAAAATTATATATATATATATATTATGTACATATCATTTTTTTTATTTCTTTGACTGTAGATCTAACTGTAGATATTAGTTGTGGCGTTTTTAAAAATGAATATAGTTGATATACTTTAATTAAAAAACAAAAAATTTATAAAATTAACTTGCTATTGCTAACGTAAAATCCTATATGTGAAAATAAATATATAATTCAATATTAATATTAGTAAAATAATAATAATGTTCTTTTTATTTTTTAAATATATATTTAGATGTGCCTCGATAAATATTGTTGTTTTATGTTATGTTATGTAAAAATGATATTTGTGATTTTTATAAATAATTTTAGTAATAATTTTTAATAGTTAAAAATAGTTAATTTATATATAATAATATACTTTTAAATATATATTAATAATTCAAAATTAGTAAAATACTAAATATTGTGATAATAATTATTATAGTATATAATTATTGTAATATACATATAAATAATAATTTCTGTTCAACGTTCCATGTTATTCATAAAATTTTGAATGAAAAAGTGTATTTTTTTAAATAAAGATAAAATTTCTTAATTACATCTTCTCTTTTTTATTTGAAGTTCTTAAATATAAAAGAAAAATATATGGAGATTAAGTTAAAGTCAAAACTAAATCATTGAATGCATTAATTAAAAACAAAAAAATAAAAACAAACTTTTTCTATTCTATTTATTAATTTAAATAATCTTCTATATTAATGTCCTTTCCTGATATTGAAATGCAAAAAGATAGCTTAACGAAATATCTAGCATTTAAAATAATCTTTCAGTTTACTTTCTTTCATTTAAAAAAACAATTTTTCATACAATTTACAAAACTTTTATTGCCAAACAGATGGATATTATTGAATGTAAGAGAGATCGACGAATTTTAGCCAATACTTTGCTTTATTGGTACATCTCACTAAAAAAAAGCCATCATAAAATATCTATCACAAGCAACAAATCACCGACATACAATTTCTAACAGGAATTTTATTTTTTTTTGGAAAAAGCAACATAACCCAACAGCTCTCTACCCAACCTCTATCAACCATACTGAGAAAATACGATCAGACAGCCACTTCATAATAACCCACACTCATAATATCTTCTTCTACAGACCTCAAATAAAAAACCTTACGATTTGCATACAATGCTGACATTAAGATATTTCACACAATGACTACAAATAATAATAATTCAGAAAGAACGATAATGCCTATTTTAGAAGTATCATTTTAATGGACAATTAAATAAATTGTTTATATTAAGCTATAACTATTATGTTACTAATTGTTACTAAATCAATTAATTACTTGTTTACACAACTTTGTTTGTCCAAACAGGTTAAATAATTTTTCTCAGAGATTGTTTATCAAATAATCATTCTCAGAGAAATTTGGCTAAAATCTAACAATTCTTCAACTTCAAAAATTACATCATCTGCAGAAAATAAAGTTGCCGTATTAATGCATTAAAAATCTCTAAATAAATGATGCATCAAGTAATCGAGTTTAAGATTTTCTTTATTTAAAATAAAAATATATCAAGCTTTGTTATAAAAACTGTTTATATCTCTTGTCTTTCGAGATATAAAGTCTCTTATTATTAACAAGTAACAACAAATTGTTATTATATCTTATGCCTTATATCGATGAAGACCTGCATTTCAAGCGTAGACTTTGAAACAAGGAGCATACGCGATTCATATTCGCATGAAATTTATAAATCCAGACACGTCAACATTAAACATATTCCTTATTAATCATTCTTACAAAGCAAATCGTACGACAGTATATTTTCCTCTAATCGTTTACTCATACTACTCACAACTTTCTGCAGTAAAATACAGATATATAACTAGAGATTCATATAAATTACATTGCAACGAATATAAAATAATAACAAGCATTAAGCCCACAACAAAAAATATTGACTCAGATTATGTTTTTTATATTCATGTGTATGCATTTGAAACGGAATTACAAGATATAGATGCCATGAAATAAATATAAGAGAAATATGAAATCTTCAATTGTTATTACCGAATTTCTTTCTTTTTTCTCAATTTAACATCATCAAATTAAAAATCTCTTCTTATTTATGACATGTTTTCATTATGAATACACAATATAAAAGAAACGTGAGAAAATTAATATAGTCAAATAAATGATTTTCAAATGTTTTAAAGTACAAAATGGTACAAAATAGTAGAGCAGAAAAAAGTGTATATAAAATAATTCCAAAATAAATTCACTTCTCACCTCTCACAGGACAAGTAGATACATACTGAACATAGACAATGCCCACACGTTCCAACAAAAATACATCTCTTCACTAATCATCTCACTTCATCTTGAAATTCCATTACTTCAAACTGCAATTAACGTCAAGAATGCATAAGAAACCATAGATACCATCTTCATAAGTCCAATAGGTATGTACAAGGTAATCATAATATACATGAAAAAGCTCTAAATAAAATCACATCATCATTAAATACTTATCCAAGAAATCCATCTTTACTAACTCATCAAGCAAACACATCTTCTCCATCACTTGAAGAAAAATGAAAATAATTGTAGTCTAAGAGTGAAAGAAAACTGACAGTAGTTGAAAATTTCAAGAAATTAGCCTATTCATTATTATTAAATATCATATATTACAATATTTTCGAAACACCGACTCAATCTACAATTATTGAGAAAATAGTATTATGAGCAGTTTCACTTTAGAATTAGATATTCTATCATATTGAAAATTTCGAGAATTACAAAACACATTCATTCTGAAACAAACTTCTAATTCTATTTAAATTATTCTTGAATTCTTTTTGAATTTTTTGAATATTACGATACAATGGACTGATTTACAAATTGAATAAATTAAATAACGCCAATTACTAAAATAACATATTTTCTAACAAAGCAAGCAATGATTCCAGTGATGCTCTCCAATTCAGCACAAACTCTGTGAATCTATTCTGGGATTTATCTTTTTCAAATATATGACAATAATTGATTCAATAATAATATTCCAAGATTTATCCTCTTCTAAATATACAATAATAATTAATTCAATAATAATACAATGATAATAATATTCAAGAATCTACGCTAAAGACATAGCTATGCTCATGATAACTATCTCAAGTTGTCAAAAAATTTCATCATTATCTTAATGAAGTACTACTTCACCTAAATCAAACTCAACATCAACACACACAAACAGACAAGATAAAGGTAATGAAAAGAATAGAAAAAATATCTATTCTACAATCCGTTACATTCAACAATTAATAGAAGAAATAGAAAAACAAAATGATATTTCCAAATCACAATCTTAACTGATAAAAACAGTCCGTTGAAATATAAAATTTATTTATCCTTTTGCACGCATAAGATCTATAATTCTATATGAAATTCTAAAGAATTCTCTATCAAAATATAATTACAAACACTATTTTATATCACAAAAACTACACGACATCAATGTGATATAATATTGCAAAAACTAGTATTAAGTGCAATTAATCATCTTACATTAAATCATAAATTAATTCATAAAGCTGTATATGCTAGGACAAACTTCTTATAATTTTATTATAAGTGACCATGAAATGGATAACGTTTCTTATAATGTTTTACAAACAAATATATAAAATAAAGAATCTTTGAAAGAAAGAAATGTTTATTCGGATGAAAACTTGTTAGATAAGTTGTACTTAATGATTAATATAACTATTTAAGAACGAAACAAAAATCTACTTAAAACTTTTTTTTTTCAATTTATTTACATAATTTACAATTTTACAAACTGAAAAATAAA